CTGCTACTGCTTCTTCCACTAAAGTTAATAACAAATTTCGATTTTATTAATGCACTGTGTATGACAAGACATGTTTTTAAAATAACTTTTTAAAATACACAATTTTGCAAGCAAGTAATGATGATAATTTTTATAGTTTAAATCTTATTGAAGCATTAACAGTTTTTGTCTCTATAGTTAGAAATATTATTAATCAACACCTTCAAATATGCTTTAAACAAGCCTAAAAATTGCATTTCAAATTATTTTAACTTGGTTATCGCTGTTTCTTGCTAGACTATCTGAGTTTTATCTAGATTACTCAGTTTAACAAAATGTTTGATTGATACAATTTTGAAGTGTTATAAGTACCTGTGTTTTAATTTCTTAATTCTAATATTCAGTTTCTTCTAAAAAAATTGCAGAAATTCAATGTTTTGTTATACTAGTTGGGAAGACCAAATCATATGTTTTAGTGTCTTTTGTTTAACCAAAGGCTTTATTAGGTTTATTTATTATTTCCAAACCAAAGGCTTTATACTTAAATTTGATCAGTGGGAAGTTTAGATGAATTTCACTTAACTGCCTGAATTTCAAAAATGAACTTTAATCTAATAATACTGAAACATTACAAGCAAAAAACCTTTTTAAGTTTGTTAGAAATACTTATGAGTTGTGTTTTAAATAAAATTCAAATACGATAAAAGTATAACTTCAAATGTTTGAGCTGCTTTTTGGTAAACAGCTATTTTCGTAGCTGACATCTTTGTAAAAACATTTAGCATTGTACAGTTATTGCAATAAGTTTTTTGACTTTAAGTACTTATAAAGTTTATTTATAATTAAATATTATATATTAAGTTATATAAAAATTTTCACAGCACAATCTTGTATTAATCTTGTAAATTGTTTTTACAAATCTTGTAAAAAATTTTAATTTGTTTATATTATACATTACGTCAACTGAGTATTTTCAAAAAATAGTTTTTTTAGTTTGCAAATATCATATTTTGAGCTTTTTTATCAATGTCACAAGTCATTTAAAGAATAAAAACGTTTTTATAAAATACACTAAGTCCGGTCAAAATCCGGACCCCCTCCCTCTCTCTAAAAAAATAGGGAGGCAGAGGGGGGAGATTGTTTTTTTTTTTTTTTTTTTTTGGACTTACCCAAAAAATTTCCTGTACACGCCCCTGAATTTAAGTCGTACTGTCGGGACCAGCTAAAGTATGAGTAGTAAAAAAGCCGACTGATTATAATTTTTATTATTTTTCATTGTTAAACGGAATCATTCTTGCATAGTAACGTTGATTACAAAGAACCAAATATAAAGTGTATTTGCAGTAGTAATAAGTTTTACGAACTTCGGGTTTACTTATTAGTTTGCGTAATTTGAATGTGACCTCAAGTGTAAATATAATTGTTTTTTAAAACGAAACTTGATATATTTAGAGTAAATAACCAGGTTTTTTTTTAAAAAGCAATTTAGCGCTAGAAATTTTACAAGATTTTATTCCAACATTTTGACCCGGTGCTGGGTAACCGGAATCGGGAACTCAGCAAACTGGTTCCGGTACATCTTTATTTTGCACTGTTTTCTTTTGTATCTGCTTCATAGACATAATGATTTTTCTTGAAACAAACAAAAAAATTTTTTTAGATGATTAATAAGTTCTTATATATGAGAAATTTATTGAATCATTTAATAATCTTTTTGGTGAGTTTAAGATTTCCGCAAATGTTTTTGTAAAAAAAATAAATATATTTATACTGATACTAATTGAGTATGAGATGTTTTGAATAAGATAAAGTATTTTAATTAACACTTTACATAGAAAAGAAGTAGTAATTCATAAATAAAACGCTATAATCTAAACTAGATAAAGGAAACAAATTAGTAAAATTTATATTGCATAATAAAAGTAAAGTTCTAGAAATATTATTTAATGACACTCGAATATCAGATTAATAAAGTATATTAAATATGGACAAAATAATTAAGGGGCCATCCATAAAAGGCGTTATCCAAATAGGGGAGGGGGGGAGGAGGTCGACAAAAAAGGACAAGGGGAGGGGGGAGGTTGTCAGAAAAGGACGTCACTTTATAGATTTTTTATTTTAGTTTAATTAACATGGAAAACTACGTAAACATGTGTTTTTAAGAAGATAATGTATGAGAATATTTTTAATTTTATTTTTCAAAGGTGTAGCAGCAGATTCAAACATCATTGCGAGGTAAGATAAATTTTTTTGAAGTTAAAAATAGGGGGGGGGGGGGTTCAGGATTTTATGACGTCCTTTTCAAGGGGGGTATAGGGAAAAAGGACAACCGGTTACAAAGGGGGGCAGGGGGTCAAAATTGGCTAAAAAAATGGTGACGTCCTTTATGGATGGCCCCTAATACATATCTATTTGCATATTTAAATTATTACACAGATAAAAAAATTTATAACATAGCTGTTTTGTGAATCTGATAATATTGATACGCTAATTTAATAATATTAATAGTCAAATTACGTCCTTTTCTAGGCTTTTCTATTTTAAAGTAGTTTCTAGGCTTTTCTATACGCGGGTTTTTTTTTAATTTTATTTACTAACAACCCGTATTACGGGTTGCTTACTGCTAGTGTTAAAAAAGACTATAAAAAGTTGTTTTAAAAAATATAAATTTTACGTATTTCAACATGAGTTTTTTTAATTCTTTAATTATTAAGTAATTTGCATAAAGTTAAAAAATTAAACCAGAGTCATAACATGAAATAAATAACAAAAGGAATAGAAGTTTGTTAATCAAAATAAAACGCAAAACGTCTCCTTTTTTTAGATAGCTCTGCATTTAAATGGTTCTCAAAAAAAAAAAAAAAATGTTGCGTCATGGTTTTAAAAGTCAGAAATAACATAATACTTCATACTTATCTCAGAAGTTAACTTTGCTTTTTAGGTTCTATGTAATGTTTCTATTTAAAAATTTTACTAAAATCCATTTGTTTTAAAAATTATTTAAAACTTTATTCAATGAGTATTTTAGGTCTGCTTTTTATAACTTGACTGTTACCGTATTCAATACTTATATTTATTCAATATTATTCTATACTCATATATATTTTTAAAAAAACTTTATCACTTATCCCATTAGATTTTAAAATCCTTTTTACAAAAAATAACAAATGTAGGAAGCCAAAATATAAAAATAAATCATTAAAAGTTAAAAGAAAAAGTAATTAAAAATAAAATCGAAATTTACTATTAAAAAAGTTTCTGTGATGGCTTTTTTCTCCATTTACAAGTTTATTTTATAAAAAATTAAATAAAATTTTTTACAAAACATCCAAATATTTATAGGGTGAGTGAGGCATCGTGAAACATGAGGCACCATGATGCAATGTAATTGTAATGCCATCTAAAGAGTGGTGACAACCACTTTCATATGGTACAACAGTTACTACTGGGGCTATGTTTGACTAAAAAGTTGTATTATTTGATATCATTAAGCCTGCAATGGATAGAACTTGGTTTTTATGATTTAATGGCAATGTAATTTATTACTTTTTAAAGTTGCTAATTTTTAATACATGTTATTCAATGCGTCAGTCGGCACTTAACTTCATATGATAAACTATAATCCATAGGATCTAACTTCATTTAATAAAACTAATAAAAAAATAAGTTGAAGCGATTGTTTTGTATAAGTAAGTATGGGGTAACCTAATATAGCATTAGTAGGGGCCTTTAAACTGTAGAACAGTACTCTGTTGTGTCATAGACAATTCAAAAAATTATTTATTCTAAAATTTACAGTCAATGTTTAAGAAGCTTATTTAAATATAACACTTAGAGATAAAATTATGATACGTATTATATGATATGCCTCAATAAAAAATAGCTTAGTCATAAGCTATTTTTTATTGAGGCATAAGAATGACATTTAAAACAATATATTGAGGCATAAGAATGACATTTAAAACAATATATTATCTGGGATTCTAAAATGTGGTTTGAACCATCGGATGCATTATTTGGGTTTTAATTAATAACTTGCTTTTCTTTCAAGTAAAAATTTGTGTTTTCTTTGAGTTTTATACTTTTTATTTACTTTTTAAATGATGCTTATAAATGATGCTTACTCATTAAACCTTATGGGTTTATGAGTACTGTAAGTACTCGACACAAGTTTCTAATTTTATTTTAAATAGTCTCACAAGTTAAACCTGTTATATTTTGGTAGTTATTAATTAAATTATTAAATTTAATTTTTTAAGTTTTATTCTAGAAATAAAACAAGTTGGCTAAAATAAAAAACTCTATCCTCTTTATTATAGCTTTTAAGGATAACTTTACTTGATTTTTTTTTTTAATATGTAATTATTTATTAGAAGGAAAGACTAAATTATTATAACATGCAAAAACAAATATAAATATAATATTTCGACTGTAAAAAAAAACAATGCAATATTAACATGCCCAACTTATGCAACCTTTTCCCCTAATTGTTTTACGCAACAACAACAACAACAACAACAACAACAACAACAACAACAACAACAACAACAACAACAACAACAACAACAACAACAACAAAACAGTTTGTTATTCAATTTTATTAAGTCAAATCTCAAAACAATATTATAATTATTTTTTAAAAATACAAAATTTTAAAAAAATAAATAGCAGAAAGATATTATTAGTTTTGTTAAAATATTAGAATTTTTACTATGTTTTGCCTTTATTCAAAAAGTAATTAAAGCTACTGCAATTTTAGGACTCTAAACTGGGTAAGTCAATAAAAACACTGGGTAATTTGAGCATCCTTATTTTACACAAAAATAGTACGTTTAAACATAGTCAAAACTAAATGTTTCTATGCATTTTTTTCAAACACAAGCGCTACGAATTTCTGGCTAACATATTTTGCTTTATAAAAAATTAAATTTTTATTTAATTTTTATTAAATTTTAGCACAGAAGTTTTTCGCCATGGATTTATAAAGCGTGATAATAATAAAATATTTTAACAAAGAAAAAATTAAATAGCGTTTTCATTAGATGATAGCCGCTAATTATACTAATTTCTGTTATCATCACAGAAATTCGTTTCAAAAAAGAAAAAGTAATTTTAACTTCACTGCTTACATCTTTTGCAATGCAGTGTTTACAAATATATCGAGTTTATAGTAAGTTATTAAATTATTATTTACCAACTCTTTTCCCCAAAAGCGTGACAAATTCTTGTTAACAGTTCTTGTTAACAGTTAACTAGTATTTGTAATATCTTACAAATATTATTATTTATCAAATTACAAATATTATTAATTATATTATTAATTATCATTAATAAGAACTTGCAAGATAATAAAACAGAAGTCAAGTTCTTGTTAACAGATAACTAGTATTTGTAAGATAATGAATATATTAAACAAACTGATTTTTCAATTGAGAAGAGCTTTTTGGAGAAAACATTAACTGTTTGGTTTTTTTTTTAGTTTTCTCCGGTTTTAAACAACGCAAGCCAGAACATTTTTGACCGAATTTGAATACCTGACAGGCTTTTCGTCAATGGAAACATAAATTTTTTTAAATAACTGCAATTTCAAGTAACTTGCGGATGTTTGGGTGCGTATGTAAAAAACTCTAACTACAGGGAATATAAATCGCTTCAAATACGCTTTCAGTCAAAGGAATTTTTTAACCTTTGGATCGTCCATAAATTACGTAACGCGAAATTTAACTAATAAACAAAAGAAAAAGTGTTAAAGGTTTTCCCGTCTTTAATTAAACCATGTATAAACAACCCTTCAAGTCCAGCGAAAGCCGCCACTCAAAAGAGCAAAATATTCTCCTACTTATATTTTTATAATATGCATTGCGTAAGTTATGGACGATCCCTTTATTTAAAGAAAACAATTCTGAAAAAACGAGAATAATCTTTCCTTACTATAAAAACATAATCTTAGTTTTTAACAAAAAAATAAAATTATAGAAAAGCTTGCTGCAAAATTATAGTAAAGTTGGATGCAGTTGTGGAAAATCATAAATAGCTAAATAAAGGAAGTTTTTTTTTAATTTACACCTACTTTTTTTTGAGAAAAGTGAGATTCCTTCTCAGTAGGCACGAGACGTAAAAAGAAAACATTTAAACGTCTTTTGGATGTTTTGGACGTCTTTTAGACGTTTAAAAACGTCATTTTTAGGTCCTGTGCCCACTGAGTTGAGAGTATTTAATCATTAAAAAATTGTACTAAGAAGGCATAAACTAAGATTTAGATTAAAGAGTTTAAAGCTAAACTTAGACAGTTATTACTAAAAAAATAATTTTCCTCAAAACTATTTCTAAAAATGCAAAATATCCTTATGATTAATCTATCAGTTAAATAAAAAGTATATTAATTTTAGAAACGCTTAAGTTGAATACTTTTTTTTACTTTTCAAATTTATTTATGTTTTTGTTGTTTAATATGTGTTGTTGTTCTATTTATTTTTTGATTCTTAGACTTTGGTTTTGTAAACTGTAGTTTAATATCCAAAAAATAATAATAAAAATAATAATAAAAAATAAAATAATTATTAAAAAATAAATTGATGATTTTTCAAAAAATAATAAATTTTTTTAAAAAAATATGTTCAAGTGAATAGCGCTTCTTGTTATTTTTTAATAATATGATTTCTTTGTTACTTTTCCAACTGTTTCAATGGCATTTCTTCTAGTACTTGATAATTTAATTATTTTAAATATAACACATAAAGTACAGCTAAGAACTAATTTTTACTAATAAGTACGAAATTTTTTTACTAATAAGTAACTAAATTTTTACTAATAAGTACTATTTTATGTGTTATATTTTAAATAACTTTACTAATTTTACGTTTGTTTATTTTATATTGTCAACGGAAGTGCCTATTTTTATTTTTAAATGAAACTTTATATTTACGAAATTTATCAAGGGGCTTGGCGATAAGACATATTATTCTTCTTCTCTCCCCTGCTACATATATATCTTGTTATTTACATACGGTTTGTATATATTAACACTGCAAAAATAAAAAAAGGTTAATATGAAAGTAGCTTTATGATAAAGTCAGTGGCTCTGCAATAAGTTATAAAACAAAATAAAACAAAAAAAAAAGACAATACAAAAGTAGTGGCTTTAACCCCCTACCTATATATTGTCTAGTTTTATATAATAAAATTTACCCATAAATCATTATCTACTTATTTTATATTAGAAATTTAACGTAATCAAGTCTTAGTGATATATATAGAAGACAGCAAATATGTTTTAGAAACCAACGAAGCGTTTTTTGCAATCTAAAAATTGATGCTACTGCAGCGTCTTTTTGAAGATTTTGTTTAAAATATGTTAATGTTGTTGTCTGAAATATAGCATTTAAAAATTAAATAATAAACTTAAAAAATTAAAGTTAAATACTATGATTGTGCAATATCTGAAAAACGTTTTTTTCTTGACTATCCATATAGTCCAAAATAAAACAAATACAAATAAGCAATATTAGTATTAAATGAAAGAATTAAAATTAAAAAAAGTAATTAATTTAAAAAATTACACCAGGATTTATCAGATATAACTTCCAGACATGGAGCAAACTCCAAACATAAGTATGTTTCTACTTATGTCAAATTTATTTTTAATTAGTTTAAAAAATTACAGCAGGATTTATCAGATACAACTTCCAGACATGGAGCAAACTCCAAACATTAGTATGTTTCTACTTATGTCAAATAATGGGGCTGTGCATAAAATCCTCCCCATACCCCCCCCCCCCAACGTGTGGGACTACAAGTTGGTATAAAATTTTTTTTACTAATCTCAGTTAGACTTATATTCATTCATAGTATTATCTCTCAGCGTTTTAAAAATATGACCGTATAAAACTTGTAACTTTATATGGTCATAATTTTCGAACGTTGAGACGTACTAATTTTAGAACGTTGAACGTACTATCAAACTTGATATCATAAAAACTAATATCATATAAAAGGGGAGGTCGTCCAAAAATTGACAGTTTGACAAAGGGCGGAGGGGCGGGAGGTCAAAAATTAGGAAAGAATTACTGACATCATTTGTGGACAGCCCCTAAGAATAAACACACTAATGTTTGTTCTTAAATACAGCAAGTGTGATTGACGCACTGAAACATCTGTTTGCAAAAATAAATTTTTTTTTTATAGTTTTTTTTGAACTTCAAAAGAAGTTCAAAAAAACTATAAAAATGTTTCAGTTAACTAAAATAGTTTTAAAAATAAATGTAAAAAAATACCTTCAAAATGAAGGTATTTTTTTACTTTTGTTTTTAAACCAATTTAAGTTATAAGAATAAACTATTTCTACCGGTAATTCATTTCAGGAAATAATTTTGTAATTCTGGAGATAAATTTGTAATTCAGGTGATAATTTTGTCGAGAAGCACTATTAGTAAATTCAGCTCGGTATCTAAAGTTGTGTCCACGTTTCTAAATTTGATTTTTTTTTTGTATATTTATTTGTTCTAATAAATCGTATTCATGTAAAGTTAGATTTACACTATCTTTTTTATTAATGATTTTACAAATTTTTATAAAGTTACGCCGAGTTAAAAATTTTGTTAAATATTTTTTTCATATGACATTGACTAAACATCTATTTATTTGCATAACTAAAGGTACGCTTTATCATACCAAGTGCTCGATTCGCCTTAAACGCAGAGCTAATTGCGACCTAAGATTGGCCGAAAAACAAATATCTTTTTTTTTTTTCACATATAGACTTTTCGAAAGTTATTAAATTGTCATTATTCGAATTAGGTATGAAGTATTAGTGCTTCGGATTGTTTTTCTCAATATGCAGAGCATGACACTTTTTACAGTTACTCATGGTAAGTAGTTTTTTGAGCATTCAAATTCCTTGAAAAAGTCACCTTAAAGAGCTGGCAAAGAGTTGTTGTTCAGAAATTCAGATGTGTTAGCTGTTCTTTATAATAAGTTTTATAGAATAATAATGTTCAACTTTCAGGTTACAAAAGTTAACAGAAATCAAGTTTAAGTAATATCTTACTTAAATGTGATTTCTGTTAACTTTTGTATCCTTCTGTAATAATTTGAAAACGTTGGACTAAATTTCAATTTTAACAAAAATTTTAAATCATTATCTTTATTTAAAAGTATTATTATAAGAAAAGAATAAAAAATTATGTATCAACTTAAAATATGTTTTTTTTGGTACATATTTATAAATGGTAAATCACAGCAAATCATTTTATAATTAATTTATACAATTTGATTAAAATGAAGGTCATTTTTAATAAAAGAAAGGGAATAAAATCACAAATTGAGACATTTAAAAGGATAAAAATGTTATTGGGCGGCATCAAAACTCATATCGAATTTAACTAAGAAGACTTGAATTTCAGCCAATTTTTTTTAAATGTAATTTTATTAGTTTCTGTATGTTTCATTCAAAAAAATTATCCCAGCCGGCATTATTACGTTGTTTCAACGTTGAAATTCGGTTGAAGCGTTGATTCAACGTTGTTCATCTATGTCACAACGTTAAATCAACGTTACCGTTTAAACGTTGATTATTTAACGTTATTTCAACGTTAAATCAACGTTACAGTTTAAACGTTGATTATTTAACGTTATTTTAACGTCATTATTTCAATCATTGCTGACAAAAAATACGATATAAAATTTATGCGCGCGCAGAAATGGAAGTAAAATCGTAAACATTATTTCAACGATTTAAGTTATAGAGATTTATAATGGAAAAAAAATGTAAATACTGAACTTATATCATATAGAATTTTCAAGAGATCGAAAACATGTTCAGACGATTTTCCTGAAAGAACATTATCGTTTAAAAATCGATATTTTTCGTGTAACTTGGGCTACAATGCTCAAAGACTGTTATTATTAAATGTAAATATAATACAGCTTTTTCAAAAAATGATCCATTAAATTATGTTGAATTTAATGCTAAGCGTTGTTTTTTAATAGAGCATCAAGAATTAAAAAAGGAAATTGATAACTTTAAAAAAGAACTTCAGCACGAAATAAAAAAAAAAAGATTTATTTGAAATATTAACTTCAACCACATCAGTTATTACTATGAAAACAGACAAACTTGTATATAAACATAATCCAAACAAATTGTGTTATTGCAATTTACTTGTATACAAACATTTATTTTAAAAATAATAGATCTTGCGACTTTTATACTGGCCTTACATCTGTCAATGTGTTTCATCAATTAGTGCAGTATCACCATTAATCAAAAGAGATAAAGTGATATTAAAAAAACATTTACTTCTGTTTTTTGAAATTTAAAAAAATCCTTAACTACTTGGACCAAAATAAATGTAATGCAGCAAAGATGAATTTTTAATGATGCTAATACTTGGATTATTGACAGCTGATTTTGCTGACAGGTTTAATATATTTTTAGGATTAGTGAATGCAATATTTTCTTCATTGTTGAAAGCTTCTAGCTCACTTTTAAACCACATGGTTTTTGTTCCAAGTAAAGATGTTATAAGACAGGCAATGCAAAACAGATTTTAGAAATTAAATTATTCAGACTAACACTAAATTTCAGATATAACAGAATTTATTATGGAAACACCTTAAAATTTTGACTTACAGAAACTAACAGGGAATGAATACAAATATTACAACAA